CTCATGCCTATGGTTACCAAGGGCTCTTCTGCCACCGCTGGGATGTATAGAAAAGCCAGAGGATTGGATGTCTGTCCATCTGCAGTCAGCCTTGAAAGTGTCCTTTCAGGTAAGAATCCAGATGCTGGCAGCTTTCTCTGTGTACTAATGATAAAACAGATTTGTCCTTCCTTACTTTCTTTATCTGTTCCCCTAGATTGCCTTGCTACTGCAGCCTCAGTTTGTAGGACCTTTCCCTTCCATTGAAGACTGTACTTTCACCTCTGCCAATGTTACATGCCAAGGGCATGGCTCAGGACTCAGGGTGGCCCTTGGCCCTTAAGGGTTGTTAGCCACTTTTTCAGTCACCCTACTCTGTGTTGTAACTCACTGTGCAGCAGTTTATTATGCTAAACATCCCACAACAGTCAGAAGGCCCTCCCAGAAAATATCATCTGATTCAAAATATCAGAAATGCTGAAGTTGAGAACCCTGCAGAAGTGGGGGAACTTTTTTCTACTAACGGTCATTTGGATACTTATGACATCATTCACAGGCCATACAAAATTATCAATACAGGCAGACAGATAGCCTTGGACAGTTACAAGAACTATATGTCTGTCCTATTGTGTACCAAATGATTCTATGTACCAGATATTCCAAATCCCTGAAGTTTTAGAGTAAACTTCTCTTTCTTCCCCAAAGCAAAACATACTAACCAATCACTAAACTACCACTCCAGCCAGATGAGACAATGAGTTGCTACTTTTTAATTTTAAAAACTGTTGAAACAATTACAATTTTTAAATAGTGTTTTGGAGATACTATTGCTTGAAGTGTATCCTAAGTCTAAAATGCTTTGTGCAGTTGATAAAAGTAATGTTGTTATTGGGCCAGGTACCACCAGTGGTTAATGCCTGTAATCTTAGCTACTTAGGAAGCTGAGATCTGAGGATTCAGGTTTAAATTTAAGGTGGGTAGGCAAACCTGAAAGACTCTTCTCTCCCACTAACCACCAAAAAGTTGTAAGTGAAGTTGTAGCTGAAGTGGTAGAGCACAATTAGCCTTGAGTGAAAAAGCTAAGGGATACTGCTCATGCCCTATGGTCAAGCACACGCACAAAAAAGTAATGCTGCTGGATGGTCCATCATGTGGAAGGAGTTGCAGAGCAAGTTCTATGAATCCTTGCTTCACTGCCATGGAGTAACCAGCCAGCCTTTTAGCTTAAGAGACTTGCCAAGGCAGACAGGGAGGTTATTGTTTTAAGAGGGATCTTAGAAAAGGCTATCTCGGCTAAACAGCTGTCAGGTATGTTTTTAAGCTTTTAGGACTCTTTGTTGGCATACTTCACTAGAAACAAACAAACAAAAAGCCCTGTGGATAAGGTGTTTCTATAGACTTAACTTACCTTCAACTCATTTTCCTTCCTAGGTGAAGGAGCTTGGCAAAAGGCTTGTAGTTTTGTAACTTAATGCTTATAAAAATAAGGTTTATTCCCAAGTTTAACTTTTCTTTGTAGGCCAAAGATATCATGATGCTCCTGCCTGTATCCGACTCTGCAGAAGGTGGCTATGAGGAGTTAGCAAGGTATGAGTTGGCCTAGGACAGTGTACATTACTGAACCCTCCCTTCCAAACATGTCAGTCCTTGTGTACATTTACAATTCTGGACACGTGGCATCATCTCCCCTGAGAACAGACATGTGTATTATACCATAGTGGATGCAGGCCCAGGGTGGGCAGAGCAGGTGGGTACATTTAAAGGAACCCCCCTAGCAAACAACTCTGTAGGACTTGGTACCACACTCAGAAACCCCCATCTCCAGAGTTCACACTTCACTTCGGCTTCTATGCTGCCCCTTCTGGCCCTGTCCATCCTTCCTCTATACCAGCAACCTGTGCAGCCACATGGAAAAGCTTATTTTCAATGATAGTTCTGTGCCCCAGTAGAGAGAAAGGAGGGAAGCCTTTTTGGTGCATCTCAGAAGTTAGAGGTTAGGTAAAGAAATGCCTAGTACTAAAGAGTGACCCGATCATTCAAGCTAACTGCTTTCTGCACCAGATTTCTCATTCAATACCATGGTGGCAGAGTCTTATGGTGTGTCAGGCCACAACTCTCCCTACTGGAAACCCTCTAAGGCCGTCCTCCACATACATGCTCAGTATACAGCCTGAAACATCTGCTCTCTCTGGTCACTTTTCAAATGACTGTTCCTTATCCACATTTAAGAGTCTTGATAACAATTCAAAGGAACTGTCCTTATTTACATAGTCAAGAACAAACACAAGAACTAAATCAGAATCCCAAAGTTTTTTTCAACCAAGTACCAACTTTTCCCTTATGAAATGTCTCTTCCAGTCAAAATAAAGGCAGTTGATTCTTAGCATTGAATTCTTGCTAGTCAGTATTATAATAAAATCACAGTTAACTAAATAACCTAGTTGTCTAAAATCTTCTTTCCTGGTTCTGAGTCACATTTCATAGGAACTTCACAGTAAGACAGGCATCAGTGTAACTACATACAAAGCATTGTGACCCCCACCCCACTACCAATTTGCAGATACTAGCCAGCAATGCAGCAATACCCAGAGGAGTAGGCAGGTCCACAAATAGAAAGGGCACATTTTCAAACAGATTTAAAAAGAAATCAGAGGGAAAAGATCATAAACTACTTTGAGAATTGCTAATTATATGAAATTCAAGTTTTATTTACCCCATTGTTTAAAGTAAAGTTTGACTGGCACATGGACATGATGTCTGTTTTTTTAAGTCTCGACTGCAGCTTTTATGATATAATGTTGAGGTCAAAAAGTTGAGGCAGAAGTTGAAAAACAAGTGGCTTGAAAAATTAACCATCTGGCCCTTTATGGGAAAAGTCTGCTGATTACTACCTTGGCACATGCCAAGTTCACACCTATGCAGCATTTGCTGTTGTCTCTATGTGGAAATCACCCAACCCCTTGGCCAGCTCCAGTTGTCTTTAGGCTTGACTAATGTCACTTTCTCTAAGTACTTTCTTGAATATTCTTGTCTATAGAAACCTAGCACAACTTTATATATTTCCTTAGCTGAAGCTATTCTCTTATGAGCTTTCTAAGAAAAGCAAGCTCTTAAAGGTGATGTCACCTGTGTGCTCACATCTTGCTCGCTACTTTGCTTCCTTCTCCCCCCCCCCCACTCCTATCTCCTCCTCTTTTCTTTTTTTCCTTTCCTTGCCTTGAGAAAGAAAGAGAAAGAGAGAGAGAGAGAGAGGGAGGGAGGGAGAAGAAGAGGGAGGGGGGAGAGAGAACTGCATTTACTCTCTGCTAGTCACATAAACTAAGCCACTCTACACTCACACCTACCTCTTGTCACCTGGGCTCTAAGAAGAAACCGTCCTGTCTTTGGGCAATCCAGTATAGTTTGTAAGATGTTAAAACAAGCAAGCAGATAAAATCTGTTGTTCTTCTCAAATGTTTAAGAGGCTATATATAACAACTAAGTCAGAGTGTAAGTTAAGAACAGGATGTGTTTCATGCCAAAAGGAAGAAGGAAAACACAGCACCAAACAGCTTCCGGGCATGAGGGGACAGACAGGTGCCCAGTGCCTGCTCTTATCCTCCTACTCTAGTCAAGCGAGTATCAAGAGCTTGGCATGCCAATGGCGTTAAGGACCCATTAAAACATAACCTATTATCTATAAATAGGAAGGTCTTTTGAACACTAATTAAAAATAACAGTCTGGCATTTAGTAATGCCTATAAACAAGCAGAATCTAAGAACAGAAGTAAATAGCAACAGTTGTGCATTTTATATAGTCAGGTGTCTTCCCTGGAGTTTCTTCATTTTTTTCTGAATTTTCAGAGTTTTAAAATGTATAATAATTTCCATCTTACCTTTTAATTAATACGGAACTGGCTGTTTCCAATTTACCCCATTTTATGACTATTAAAATCCATTACAATATTTCATTTAACCCAATGAATCTAAACTATCACTTCAACAATACTGTAACAAATATGGAGAAATTATTGAGGCATTTCACTCTTTTATACAATGTCTTCAATATACATTTGTTCATTTTATATCTCCATTTAAAATAACTACATTGCAAGTGTTCAATCTCCACAGGTAGCTAATGGCTATTATACTTGTCTATACTGTATAAAAATGTTCAAAATTATTTTCAACTGAATACAAAATATTTTCTGCATTTTAAGAATAGTACATAAGAGATTTTTTCTTTAAATGCTTGTGCTTTACTTTAAATGATTACATTAACTATTTTATTATTTTATATTTTTTAAACATGGACTTCATCTTGGATTCATACTGCATTCTTTCCAATAAGCTAAAAAATATTAAGGACCACATCATATTGCTTTCCCACAAGCATTCAATTTTACTTTTCAAACCACGACTGCTACGTTCAGTTTTCATTTCCTTTACACATGGTTTCTTTCCTGTCCTAACTGAATACAACCAAGACACTCCAAGACATGAGCCAAGTTTCCTTAATGTCTAACAGGATGGCGCCACCATAAGTGGGCAAGATGAGTTTAATTTAAAAACATTACACTCTGGGAGCTGGGTGCTCGTGGCTGATGCCTGTAATCCTAGCTACTCAGGGAGGCTGAGATCGGGGGATTGTGTTTCAAAGCGAGCCTGGGCAGGAAAGTCCCTGAGATTCTTATCGCCAATTAACCAGCAAAAATCCAGAAGTAGAGCTATGGCTCAAATGGTGGAACATTAGCCTTGAGCAAAACAAAAACAACAACAACAACAAAAAAGCCCCAACTTTGCTTGGTCACTCTTTTAGATGTATAATCTTTATGAATCAGTAAAATGGAAAGTGTAGGGACCTGGTCGAACAGCACAGCCTGGGAAGCAGTTTACTTTCCTAGAGCTCAGTTCTTCACACAAAAAGCAAACATATGAGATTTTTGCAAATGGAAATAGTGGTTTCCATTAGGTTTGGGATTGCATCAGGATCACCATCCTTTCCATTAGAGAGGATCCATCTTCCCTCTGGCTTTAGTTACCTCTGCATCTTGCTTGTGGAGGTTGTACGTCCGCTGAAGGCTTTGCAGAGTTCGCAAGTTCAGGGTCTTCTGCTGTAAGAGATGCTCCAGAAGCAAGATCAGTTGGTCTGGAAGAAGCTGAGGACAAAGCAAAATAACCTATGAAAGTGCTGACGAGAAATTAAACCCAACTTTAGAGGAAAGTCATGGTAACATGGTATTTTCAAAATGTATCTGAACACCAAAAATACCCAAGTGCAGACTTTCATAAAAACTCAGGTTTTATATTATCTGTATCCCTAAACACAATGCATTTGGGGGCTTACATAAGTCTTATTTTTGATGGTTTTCATTTCAGGTCTATACTTAGGTACTTGTGTTAATGAAACATCACTGTGGTTTATGAGATCCTTGCCTTTATGGCACAAACTCATTCAGCATAGACTCATTCAGTGATTCAGGAAGCCACCCAATTTCAAGCAAACGTGGAAGTTAACCAAAAATAGCAGTTTTAGGTTTCTTTCTGAACTATATTAACCCTGAAAACACGCCTGCTGTACACCAAGAAATAAAAGGCACAAATTACTATGTCTCATAATCTGTCCATTATACAAATTCTACACTTATAATACACTAAAAAAATTAAAAATGTTACTCATTACTATACATATACCAACATACACATATAAACACTCGGTTGTCTATATTCCTGAATTTTTACAAAGGACAGATCAAAAATGGCTCAAAAGGCACAGAGGAAAACAATCCTTTTGTGGTACAAAAGTAAAATTGATCTTGAACAAAAAGTATTTGTGAAACCATCAATTCACTATCATGCAACAGGGGTCAACCCATGATACTTCCTTGTGTGCACCATTACATTAGTCCTAGTACACTAGAACTAGAATATGTTTATATGAAAACTAAGGTTTCAAGCCAGGGGTAGGCAAAACACTGTAATATTAGTTGCTCCAGAGGGGCAGAGGTTCAAAGCCCAAGGAAAATTCTGGCAAAAGCAGGAGACCCAATTCAAAAATTAAACATGAAGTAAAAAGGGCTGAGGGTATGGCTCAAAGGAAAGAGCCTGGCCTACCTAGCTGAAGCTAAATTCAAGCTGCAGTTCAGAAAAAAAAACCCACAAGATTTTAAAATTATCATTATGAATTCAACTATTCTTTACATGTAACTTCCTTCTATCCCTACTTATGCCCAGGTAATCTTTGCCAGTGAATGCAAATTTACAAATCTAGAAGCCAGTACTGAATCAATAGAATATTCATAAGAACACCTGGATTTTAATTGCACTTTGTTACTCAAAAGAAAAACTTCCATTATTATTTCTCCACCTATTCCACTTTGCTTTCTGTGTCCAAATATACACTCTTCCTGACCTCCATGCCCCATTCCCACACTCACACACATGTGCCACACTGAATGCACATGCACACTCATATACACACAGAGGAGCATGCAGGAAAACTGACAGATAACATATACACCACTCACTGCGTAACTCCTCAAAGATGGCATTTCTTATATTTCTCATCTTACCCTTCTAAATTTTAACAAACTCCCCTTCCACAGACAGGCATACAAGTACACATCACTTGGTTCTGGTGTCTACTTATTTGTATCACTCCATCTCAGTCATGCTGTGGACAGTCTCTTGACTGATAGGAAAAACTTTGGGTATTTTTAGGAAAATTACGATGTGATTTGGTCTGACAATGAGGTCCTAATTGAGGACTAAAGAATGACTACATTAACAATTTTTTTCTTGAGATGTCATGTTCCTATAGGATGTTTTAAATATACCAACTTATTATATAACAACTTGCAACAAAATCACTAATCTATCTTTTTCCTATCATTTAAACATAAGCCACTTTTATGATATTAGGAGAGGCTTTCTATTTTATAGATCAGGCCAATCCCAGGATTCTCATCAGCTCTAGGGAGCTAGCTTTCCCTTGTTCATACCAGGGAACCTCTTTGGTATATGTGGGATGGGCAGTGCTGCTGTCCATGCAGAAGTGGAGGCCTTTCTCATTGGCTTCTCCTGTCTTGGCTCCAGCTTCTTTTGCTTAGTTCCAATCCATAGCTAGCACTGTTCCAAGGAAGGCCTTTTTCAGCTCGAAGCTGAATCTTCTTCAGCCCATGGCCTTCAGCATACCCTCAACTATTTTAACACCATTATTTCTAAAACCCTCCTGTATTTGGACTGTCCTCATAGTTGCCTTCTCTTTCTCCACAGTCAAGACCTCCCCACAATCCACCCTGCTAATTCTGAAGTGCCCCACTGTGACCTACTCTGGTTCCCCTATGGAACAGCCCACCTACTTCTCAAGGGCTGAGGCTGAGGAGACAGACATAAAACTCCCAGCAACATTTGGATGTAAGGGAATCCCAGATTGGGTCAGAGTGCCCAGCAGGCTCATGCTGAGGCCCTTCCAGATAGGCTTCTGGGAAAGGGCCAGCCAACAGAAGCCTCTTGGCACAAACAAGCATGATCTGGCACAGGGTGCCCATGAGCCTGGGACAGGACTATGTCTGCTAACTAAATGTAGCAGAGCCAGCTGTGCCGACTTGCAGAATTACAGGGGAAGGAAGAATAGAAAGAAAAGTGTCTCCCTCTATGTCCTTATGCTCTCAACAAAATCTATTGTTAGAATTTGGTTTAAGATTTGGTTTAAACTAAAGACATCCACAGAGGAAAAGGATTCTTGAGCAAGAAAACTAGCTTGGTCCTCAACTTACTCCAACTGTATTCAACCAATAAACACAATTCTAGTTTAAAAATCCAAGAGCTGCTAATACGTGAGCCCATCAAAATGCCTGGGTTCATACTTGCGGGTTTCTTCCAAGCAGTAAGTTCACACGTCTGCATACAGAAATAGACTGAATGGATCACTGAAAGCTTTTGTTCTCTCAACTGTTATGCAATGGAAATATTTAGAGCTAAGCCCCCTGACTTAAGACAGCTAAGATGAAAGGGAGAGAGGGAGTACATATGTTGTCAAATCTTCAGCGTTCTTTCCTTCAGAATTTAAAGACTAATTGGAGGGAGGAAAAAAAAACATGGTGCAATCCCACCCCCCACCCCCCTGTGCAAGGTATCTAGTTCTCCTTCAGTAAGATGCCAAAGACTGCAAGAAGCAACTTGTTCAGGGTAGGCAGATCACAGCAAGGACTAGCACACCCACGCTGCAAACATTCCTCCATAATGCTCCGAGATTTCAACTGGTCTGGCTTCTTAGAGTGGACTTGTAGAAACCACTCTCACTTAATAAAAAATCTATGGCCACCTGGCTTTCAATTGTAACTTTAATTCATTTTGGGGGGGGGGGAGAAGAAAAGTTTTATATATATATATATATATATATATATATATATATATATATATATATGGCAATATATTTATATATAATTAGTGTCTGAGCAATGAAAAAGAAGAACAATGATCTAATGTCACTTTAGGGCACAAACAATAAAACTAATAAAGTAGCCTTTATTCACAAGTAAATGTTAAATTGTTTTTTCAAGTAAGATTATGTACTTTGAAAAGAGGATATTAAAGTAAAAATGTGATGGGTAACTACACTTCAATATAGCACATTTCTCTACAAAATAAACATGTGCTCCCTGTAAAGCCACCCTACAGTGACAAAGAACAATATATAATAAGCCAAAATGTTTGTAAAGCAACTGAAAGACACATTCTAGCAAATGTGCTCCAGCCGCCTAGGCAGGGAGACCCGCCCTGGCAGCTGGCACAGAGGGAGTGGGAAATATGGGGATCATTCCACTCCCACCCACGTAGAAACCAAATTTCACATGACTTCTGGGCCAACTATGTTTTAATGTAGCAGTACTGTAGGACACAGATTTGCCTTTACAGACCAAGAAAAATAAAGTATAAATCTCAGAGCATTATCTCCTAAGAAAACAATACATTAACAGTAAAATTACAGAAAAGAACCTGCCTTTACTTTGAAGGGTCTAAGCATGTTTGTTGTATGTATCCACAGTTCAGCAGTGACAGGAATAGAAAATCCTTTCCTTCTCACAAACAATAGATGCATGACCAGGTTATTTCTTCCATATGGGGACCAGCTCAATATTTCAGAATACATCTGCCTTGGAAACGTAGACAAAATAAGACTGTAGGGTGCCAAAGTCACATGGGCACTTGAAAGGGGACTGGGCAGGATTGCAGTGCTTACTCGAATGAACACAAGAAACAATATGCTGAAGGAGGTCAGTCAAGTACAAATGCTATTTGTTAAGGATTTTAGAAGTCTGCTGTCTTGCCATAAACATAGAAGATTTGACAGTTGTTAATTACTGAGAAATGTACAAAGACAAGTCTACTTTTCCCCCAGGCAACTTAATAGTAGAGGCAAGCTACATAACTTTAGATTTTAAAAGTTTCTACACAGATTCTTGGAAGGAAAATTTAAATTTTCTAAACCCATCCTCCTAACATAGAAGCAGCATAAAGAAAACAAGCCCTGACTTTTCCAGAAGCCCTTAATGCTGTCACGGGAACATCACTCACTGAGATCCCAGAAGACCACCCATGCAACCAAGGCCCTCCACTGTCTCTTCTGTCAGCATACAATGCAGAAAGATGTAGAAAGGGCAGCTCACCTCTGAGATCAGAATTGCCAGAAAGGTCTCATGACTGACTTCCCCAGGCAGGACCTGTGACCGGGACAAACATCCAAGCCCCATGGGCTATAGTCCTCCATAGGTACATTCTTTGCGCTGCAGCCGTGCACAAGGAAGGAAGTCACTGTGTGGCTCCAGATGGAATGTGCCGGAGACTAATGCAGCCACCGATCGACAGTGGCGTGAGTTCTATTATTACCCCATTATCACTCTGGGATCTGTGCCTAAATGAAGCATGCTTCCTCCCTGATGCCATTTCCTTTTATCCTGGCTGGAGACTAAAAGCAGATCAATGGGGCAATACATATGATGTCACTTCAATTTACAGTGACAGCCTTCCCCTCCTAAAGTCTGTCTGAAAAACAGAGAAAGATCAATTCTTCCCAAAAATGGTTAAAAAATGCTTAGGGAGTATTCATCTTCCAGAAAAGCATTCTCTGCTATATTTGTCTATGTTACTACGGCAG